TTAGCGTATTTTTTACAATTAATAGCATGCAAGTGCAGATATCTTTATTGAAGAAAGAAGGAGAGCAATAATAAATGATTTATTAAGATGATGTAAATACGCAACAAATAAGAATTTAAAGCCTATAACGGTCAAAGCTGGATCTTAGATGCTTGAATAATTTCCATGTGAATTTATATACCAGATATGTAGTCATTTGAACTGCGTGCCGAATTGGTTCTTCGGATTTATAAAGGCAATTAAACTACCATAGTAACATATTAATATCACAAGCAATTTAATAATTTGATATTCAATTAGGCATCCTATTAGAAAGATGTTAATGTACTGAAAATTTGTAAATAAATTTAAAAGATGGAAAATATGTGAATTGTAAATATAGTAATAAGAGATAATATAATAATAAATTTCTCTTCTATTGTCATAAAAGAGAAACATAAATTATATAAATAATTTATATAAATTTTATTTATTTTTATTTTTAATAAAAAAAAAGCGTACAGTGATTAATTAAATAAGATCTCCCGTTAAATGTGAGTGTAAGTACAAAAAACAGATTTCAGGGAACTAAATTTACAAAGTGAATTATTCTTCGTTTTCAATATCGTAGAAAAAGCGGGTTTAGTAAGCATTTTGACAATTTTTCTCTGATGAGAATTTGAGCTTGTTAAATTATTCAGAATTCTACGTCAATGCACAATAAAGATGCTTATCTGGAAACATGCGTCGCAGAGAAGTCTCAAGATTTGCAGAAAAAACATGGATCACGTCTCAGTTTCTTCCAGAAATAACGTTGGAAAGCGGAAATTCATACATTAATAAAAGAAGATTGGTATCGAAATTAAAAACAAGACAAGAATTTAAATTTGGCGAATGAATAAATTGTTGATAATATTGTATATTTTTGATGCGATTTTAATTGAAATAAATAAAAATTAGCATCGTGCAAAGATAAATATTATAAAAATGAAAAATGAAGGAAAATTTTCTTTTCCTTTTTTTTTTTAAATTGGAAAAAACCACGAAAACCTCAGAAATCTAATACTACTGGCCAATACTGAAAGATAGTAATTAATTATTTATTTATTTTAAGTATTAAAAACATGTTGTCGAATATTTTTAGAAAACTTCAAATAAATAATAATTAATTACTATTTGTTAATAATACATTGGCCAAAATTAGATTTCTGTAAAGATTCCATGATGCTTTTTTTGATGAAAAAAGGGAAGAGAAAATCTTTCCTTGAGTGAAAAACGCCATATTTGATCAAGGTGGTTCTTCGTGTCCAACAACATATTTCTAATCAAATTTCTTATGAATTTATACTCTAAACTTTTTGGAGTAAATTGTTACTCTAAAGAGTGAAATCTCTTAAAGATTGAGCCACTCTTTTTTTAAAACTGGCACAATTGTCACTCTTTAGAGTGAGATTTCATTCCAAAGAATTTAGAGAGTATAGTTTCCAGTTCGCATAGTCTTAAACCAAAGCTGGAGTAGTAATATCACCAATTAAATAGTAATACCACAAAGAAAGTTTTCCGTTTGACATATAGCGAAACGGGTAAAGAGATCTCGGCGATTAGAGTCGGCGCGTCGCGTCGCGTCGACGCGTCGCGACGCGACGCCACGCGCTAGCCGTACATTCGTATCGATACGTTATCGCGGCGTCAGTGAGTTTATATGCCTCTTACAAATTCACATATTACGTAAATCCGTACATGGTTCCACGTGCCCGTGCGGATCAATTAACGGCCGTCGTTTTTATCACACTGTCACGGTTCAAGGCAGAAAGCAAACCGACCGGCAGCCTTCAGCGTGCGTCTTCTTGACGACTAGCTCCGAAAATCCGCGGCGATGGATCGTCAAATTCACGTAAGAATACAAGGTGTTTAATTACGCATAATGACGAAAATATAATTTTGGGGCAAATTTCTTATTAATTAATTAAAACATAATTTTGGGTTAATTTTCTGATTAGTCGACTCGAGTGCAAAATATCTTGTTTCTTATATCATGATAGAGTTGGCAAGAGATTCGCTGGTCCCTACAATGAAGAATGTATTCACGAAAGTCATTACACAATGTAAAAGTATTTTTTAAAAGATCTGCGATTGAATCGAATCGAGTCAAAAGACGTGAAATAAAAGTCAGATTGAATCGGAAAAGAAATTGAAGTAAAAGTGAAATTGAAATTGATTAATGATGATTTTACTCCTCCGTTCGAATACGTAAAAGATGAATCGCTCAGTTAGTCCTTTTAATGTGTTTTATTGTAATATGTATATAGGTGTATAGAGAGATGATGTATTACTTAGGTGAACGTAGGAAAGGCATTCTGACTAGTGCGATGTATTTCCGTCGATGAACTCGAGTGCGCGAGTCATTCTCCAGAGAGAAAGAGAGAGAGAGAGAGAGAGAAAGAAAGAAAGAGAGAGGGAGAGAAAGATAGATGGACTTTATCCTGATCCTTAGTTACGGCAGGATGTAATGATATTATTCCATAATTTGAGAAACATGAAAGTCGTCTGGAAATCTTGTGGAGGGAAACATGAGAGAAAACGCCGTTTTCTTCCGCGAATAGAAATGGCCCAATTAGTCAGTCATTATAGTTAAATAAAAGACACTGCAGAATTCTTTTTTGCGTTAACAAAAATAAAATTTGCGATTAATTTAAATAAACTTAAGGAATTAATTAATTTTTAGAGAGAATGTAAAAACTAATTGCGTATCCTTCTCTACGTCATTTTGATTCAATTAATTTAGCAGGATTCACCGGACGTTAGTGATAATTAGATCTATTAGAATAAAATACATGATAAATAAAGTGATAAGACTCGCTGCTTTTTTTTATTTTTCCAACAATACGAGAAGTAAACAAGTTCGAAAGGATTAACACATTTACGTTCAGTGCAGCGAGTTTTCCACCAAAATATTTGCATGTCGCATTGACGGCCAAAAGAGAAAGAGAGAGAGAAAGAGGGAGAGAAAAGAGAGAAAGAAAGATAAAAGAACGTAACGAACGGTATAGAATCTCGCGTATTGGAACAAGTATTCCTCGCTAAATCTGGCACGCGGCGACATAATGCGTGATTAAATTACCGCCTTCTTGAATTTTATCAAGTTCCTTCGCCCGTATACATGTCAATGGAATCTTCCCTATTATCGGGTACAATTTGCTCTCTGATAATGTATGAGTATAATAAGAAACTAGTAAAATAAATAAATAGTATAATAAATGCAATAAAAAATAATTGATTGTGCGTAAGATTCTAATTACGTAATTTTATTATGATTATTGCTCTTAATTATTAACTCTAACCTCGTAATATTTCATCTTTGGAATACAATTGTTTTGTAGGTAAACAGTTTTTTTCTGTAAAAGTATGATATGCATTTATATATACCAATGTATGTACATATATTATGCATTTGTAGACTTGCTATGCGTTGTATTTATAATGTATTTATAATAATCATAGAAATATATTTTTATTATAATTTCTAATATCAAAGCAATTTTTCAAGATTATAATCGTCAATAAATTTTTTAACCCTTCCTTATTTTAATCGCTATATATTACAGTTTTTCGTTTTATTCGTCATTTTCTTGCACCGCAAGAAATCTTTTGAATATATGTATATAGACGGAAGTATAAGTTGCTACTTTTTTCTAGATTTGCATCTCTTTTTCCTCTATTCTATTATGGTTCATTCCCCCTATAGATGCATAATATTAATGTATATTTAATATTCTAAGAATATGCTTAAAATATTAAATAATATTATGCTCCTATAGAGTTATAATACGCTAACATAATACGTATACTTCTCTCGCTGTTCTCGTAGATCTTCATGTTCTACGAGTAAACTCCATTCTTAAAAAATTTCAGATCCGCTATCGTGTGCGATTAGTCACCAGGAAAGAATAATTTCTAATACAACTTTGTTAACACGGATCGAGACATTGTAATTATTTTCACTCACGTCACAGTAAAAACCCACGCGTTCATTTCGAGTGGGGAAAAAAGCGTTTACGTGCCACATTTAGCGTTCATCCAACTCTCGTACTTACTCGATTTTACTGCAGGCTGATCTGCGACTGGTCGAACGTGGATGCTGAGTCGATTTTAATGTATCACTAATGTTAATTATCATCCGGCATTGAATCATCGTCGCGCGATCTCGCGACCGACTAAACGCGAATATCTAATTCTCCGGTGTCGGTGATAATATTGCGGTGATAACAGCATGCTATGATTTGTGTTAAACGAGTTCTGACCAAAAGAAGCAAGAAATTTTAAACGAATTGCGCTAAACAATTCTTGATTTCAATTAATGCAAATGTCATTCTAATGTCATATAAATAGATACTTAATTAATTCTAAATAAAATATAATTGATTCAACATTAAGCTGAGACTTATAAACTACGTTTAGAACCCAACGTAGTAGTTTATGAAATATTAGATTTAATTTATCAAATATTAAAATGGTAATCGCGCTTTACAATAATATACAATTATAATTACATTTAAATGCGGCCGCGCAATTATGACTTTGTTTTAAAATCGCCATCGTCAATAAATATAATACAATTCAGGGATTAACGGCCATCCAATTTTATTCAATTTATTCTACGTTATTTTATTTCACTTTTTATTTTGAATTCTTTTTTTACAATTATTTCACTTATTTAACAATTCATTTCGTATCGTACTGGATCAAACGATCGCATCAGAAATCACCGTTAAATGCTAGTACGGTACCAAGTTACAGTGCGAAATGGCTATTGAAAATCGATACCGCGTAATCGCCATCGAGCAGTTTCCGATTACGGTCGATGCTAGTTACTGTTCTTCCATTTCATTGGACTCCGCTCGATTTTCGTTCGACTTACCGGACCCGTCTGGATTACTGTATCGCGGACCGTAATTGCGGCATACCGGAACCGCGATATGTGGGTCACTGTCATGTACGTCATCGGCGACGGCGTCCGAGAATCCGAAAGAAGTCGACGACACGGCGATCTGGAAGGAACTGGCTGGGCCCCGCGACGAAACGGTGCACCGTCGATTCCTGCCGGCTCGACTCGGGGCTCCAGCTCCTTCCTCCTCCTGCTGTTGCCGTCGCCGATCTGTGATCATCGCCGACGTCATCGTGCACGATCATCGCGACTGTGGCGGGGGCCGGCGTCGCAATTGTATGACGTCATCGCCGGATGCTGTCATCGTGCTCGCGGTGAGATGAGATGAGGCGCACGCGAGTCGTTCCAAAGAATTTAGACCAGCTTCCGTTAGATATAATACATGCCGTGTACACAACATATCTTTCCCCACGCGAAGCTTTTTCTTTTTTTGACACCAGCAAATTAATGTGAAGGACATGTAATAAAAATAATTGTTATCGGTATGATTTAATGTAGAACATTTGATTAGATTACTGTTCTACTATATATATAATTAAATGCAGGAAATAATTTCGAGATTTTATTGCAAACTTTTTTGTCCAAGTCCAATATTTTTAATAGGAAATAGTTACTTTGTTAATTTAGATAAATAAAATAATAATTGTTATTCGTAATAAATATGATAAAAAAGTGATAAATCTGTACTCTATATAATCGTGTAATAAAACAATAAATAGATTTTCTAATTTCAAGTATTACATTTATATTTTTAAATTAATAAATGTAATAATTTCTAATCGTAATAATAAATTTAATACAGCTAAAGTAATCTGAGATTTGAGACACGTACAATCGCGATTTGGTACGACCATCTGCAGGATTTCCTGGTGCTGGGTCATCGCATTCTCCTGTCATCACAGATGGAAAAAGAGGAAGAGGATGAGATCGATGCACCACGACCTCCTCAAGGTAAACCCACGTGCCATCTTTTAACACGAGCTCGCTTTTGTTATTTGCGTTGTAATTCATGATGTCAATTAAGGGCAACGAGACGCCGTCGTTGCTGCTCGTCGAACACAGTCAACCACCTCCATTGCAAAAACTGCTTTTACTAATTAACAATTAACTTCTGGTAATCCTCGACTGGAATAAAAAAAAAGACAGACAAGAAAGGAAGCTTATTTTATCTTAGAATTATATGTTAAAATGAATTATACAAAGTTGCTTTAAAAGCCGTCGAAAGTTTGATCCTTTCATTTGATACTTTTCTTTATTGTTAAGAATTAATCTAGGTTGTCTATATGATAGAAGTTTAATCTACCTTTCGTTTATTTATCAGAGCGTCCAGTATCCGTGAAATCTTTTTTTGCGATGTTTGGACTTTCGGAAACTCTTTTTCAAAGGATTAAACTCGCACGTGCCGCTGCATCAATGTCCCGCTGTTGAACGGGGACTCAGACGTGAATGAACGGCCAACTCGCATTTTGCGCGACGGAATGTTCGCGAGGCGCCGACGATACGCGGCAAGGCCGTAATTCACGTGTTGGCTAAGCGAGCTACGAGCAGGGTCTTGCAAAATTATTTGTATAAGTCTTAGATATCTCAAATTCAATTACTTGAATTACAATTAAATTAACAATTTAATCATCACATTTGTAATTGGATTTATTCTAAAAAAGTTCTAAAGGTTTTCGCTTGAAATGTAACACTGGTCAGTTTTTAATACTGAAAATTATCCAATAAATAAACTGATGTTATTTATTTTGTCATTTTGATATTAAAATGACGTCTTTAAAATAAGGATATGTAACATCAGCTTTCTAAAGTACATAAGCAAGTCAAGAGAAAGCCAAAATGACTTTATTATGACATCATGAAAGTCAAAATGATTTTTTGTTATATTTAACTGTTTATCGACGTTAAGAATTAAAATAAAAATTTTGATTTTTTGTTGACTTTGTGTATTTCTTGGATTGTTTGCTGAACAGTGATCAATTATTTATTTTAAGTATTAAAAATAATACTGTTCAATATTTGTAGTACTCCACATAAGTAATTAATTACTGTCTTTTAATAATAAAGTAGTCAGAATTAAATAATAAAATAGCCAGAATTAAATAATAAAATAGCTAAAATTAAATTTCCGTTTAAAGGGACGTTTATGAAATCAGTCGTTCCTCGTGGAATTTAATCGATATTTTATAATCAAATTTAATCATTTGTTGATTGATCAAAAGGACCTCGAAGTTATAATAGTCTATAATCAAATTTAATAATTTGCTGATTGATTGGAAGGAACTTGTATTAGAACTTCGCGGGTTCGGACGAATTCACGTCCATCGCTGAATTATACCGGCTCGTTACTGGACTGCCGTATCGGGCCAAGTCGACGTCACGGTGAGCGAAGGTATTCCGGACGTCGCCGTCGCGGGACCGTCGGTTAACCTGGCCCAGAAACCGAGCCGGAACTGCCGGTGGAATCAATGACCTTGGGCGCGCGAGCTCTACTCATGGTCACCGGCCTCGGGAAGAAAGTTTCAGCATCGAGAGCTTTCAACGACAACTCACGTCAATAATTCTAATCTCTGTAATAGTTTTATAACTATTCGAAAAAACGATTTTGCAGAAGGACGATTTAAAACATTTAGATAGATACAGATCTGAAAATAATTTTGTTGGATCATCAAAATTATTACGTAGAAATCTCGAGCATGACGAATAATATTGTAAAAAGTTTTAACATTATAACAATCAATTTGATTGTATTGCACGTGATAGTGCGTTTTTACCTGCGTCTATCTTTATTTTTACCTGCTTATATTAATTCATTATTATTTTATTATTATCTGTTATTATAACGTATTAAGTTATTTATGAATGTATTACCTTAATTAATTTTTAATTTTATTCGTTTATTTTTAGCTATTGACTCTACTTTGTTTAGAAGTACTGTCGAGTTTGTATATTTTTCTTTTATTATATTGTATCAATTGTATAAACAGACTTATAGCAGCAGTCTTGCTAGCACTTTACCTTTTGCTATTGTAATAAATTAAATTAAATTTGAGCATCCTACATAATTATTCTAATGGTCCAACAGAAATTATTTTCAAATATGCAGCTAAATTTGTAAATATTTCAGCAAAACCGTTCTTTCCGTGTAAATACTATAATTAAATATTTACGATTATATATTACCTTATACATTTTTAATTTTGCTAATGCAGTTTTTATTTCTTACTTTATATTATTTAAAAATAAAATAATCCTATTATGTCAAAATTATATTTCGTGTGCAATATTAAAATCGCGATTTAAAAATAAAAATATTTATTTCAAAATAATAAAAAAATATTTATTATTTTTTAATAATAAAAAAATGTTGAAAAGTAAATCTCGGTTGAACTAAAGAAAGAATTTACTGTTATTTACTGTGTCGAAACGTTAGTTTCGTTCAAGAATGAAATTTGGTTCGTATTTTGCCGAGGGCAAAAATTCAGATCGCGTTACGCATCAAAACGAGATCCGTTTTCTGTGCTAGGCAAAAAATCATTAAAGCGAGATTCGGTTCTCGCGTGACGTGAAATGAAATCACGTTGGAATCACGCGTACGGTTGACGCACCGTGTCCGGCACGCGAGTGACGTACGTACGTAACTCTCGCATCGCAAGAATGCGAATTTCCATCGTTATCCGCCACAAGATCGCATTTAGAGATCCAGGCCAGTTCCGCCTCCTCCTCATCGAAATACGTCGTCCAGCTCCGTAATTTCTCTGCTCGCGGTGTGAATTCTTCGTGAATGCTACTTTCTTAATGCCATCGATTTTAGATGCACAAAAGTCGCTTGATTTTCGAAAAGTGCCATGAATGATATATAAATAGTATAAATCTAGAAACAAAAAATATTGTCGGATTGTTCGAAATTCATTAAGTTATAATTTAATTTTGTACTGTGATTATTCAATTTGTTGATACTTACTTGTTAACAACAATCGCAGAATTTCATGAATATATTTAAATAACTATTTATTTATTTCTTTTTTGTGGCATTTATGAGGATCAAACTGATGATCGAAGTGTTTGTGTTTTTGATTAATTTTATATGAATAAATATATTCTTTGCACATCAATAACTGCGTTGACTCTTACTGGCTTTTTTTTTATTTTCTATGTTAGATTTATTCTCAGAACTTTCTTATTTTATATTTTTGTTTACTGCGAGAAATTTCTTATTAAATTAGGACACGTGTAACGAAAAGAAACGATATGCAGATAAAGAAGTAGAGAAAATCAAAATTTAATTGTGAAGTTTATTAAATATATAATTTATTAATTATTACAAATCACGTAAAATTTTTGAAAATTAATCGTTTAAAATAACGATTTTAAAATTTATTATTTTCTTATTTTCAAAAATTGTTTATTTATTACTGAATCAAATTTATTTTGCAAACAAAACTTTAAATGAAATTTAATAATAATTCTTAATAGATATTTAATAAAATTAGTTAAAAATTCTTCGAGATTACTTTTAACATTGTGCAAAATATATGTCATAAAAATACGGAACATTTAATTTTATGTACTTTGGTTTTTGCTAAGTATTGCTCGTTATTGAATGTAAGAAAAAAATAAAGATAACACTCATTAAAATTTCTATTTCATTTCTGAATGAGTACCGCAATAAAAAAGTAATAAAAATAAACGAAAATTATTTACCATTTAAATTTTAAATATCTCGGGAACTTTAAATTTGCTTCTTTCAGTGATCCACAGATGACGCCATATATAAGATGCTCGTGGATCACGTGGTCTTATAAATGCATTCACGTGACACGTGCTTCGATATTTTTACGTCTTAAATAGCTTTCTGAAATAATTAAATCATGACATTTAAAAATTGTTGTGTCTGCAGAAAGAATGATGCACCTTACAAATGTCCGACGTGCAGGGAATCTTAGTAAGTGTAATTACTTGTATTGATTGTATTCTTTTTTGAGGTTATGTGCTTTCTGCGAAAATTATTATCATTTTCATCATTTGAAAATTGTCACGTTAATTTTCGATAATAGAAGAGAATAATAGTAAACTTGTGATTTTTAATATAACTTATTGAAAAGATATTTATAACGTAATACTAAAAAATCTTTTTTTGAATTTTTGCTGTAAATTTTATTTATAATCTTGATTACTCTAATTAATTTATATAGTTTATAGTCAAATTTTATTTACTTTTTTTCATATTTTTATGATTAAGTAGTTTTAGTTGCTCTGTAGGATGTTGCAAAGAACATAAGACTCAATATTGCGAACCTCCAATATTACCTGAGGAATCCAAGGATCATCAAAACGTCAATCAACGGAAGTATGAATTTTCAACGGAAGACACAGTGCCCATGGAGAAATTACGGCAGTTGCGCGATAGCAAGGAACTGAAACAGTGTCTCCAATCTTCCCATTTGCGCAACGTTATGAAGACAGTTATGAATAGTCCAAATCCAACCGAGGCGATTGCTTTAGCCATGAAGAAGGAACCTATATTTGTGGAGATGGCCGATGCTTGTCTGAATATTGTGGAACCGCCAGATCATGCTAAACCATGTTAAATTACTTCTGACAAGTGAGTATTTTTAAGTGTCATTGTTGTATGTCATTGTTGCACCAAATAAGGCTGTGATATATTAAAGATATAATTTTTAATACAATTTGTAAGTATATTTTACAAATTGTATAAAATTGTCAAGTTCAGAAAATACTGTTTCTTTATTTAAATATTTATTAAATATTTAAATACTTCTGTACACAGTAAGAATACGTATAAAAGTTTGTACCAGATGATATTAAATGAATATGAAAATAATATGAAGTTTTTTTTTCATACAAATGAATGTGAACAAGTCTTAGATAAATAAATGAAGAATTTATATTCTTCTTACAAATGATTTCATGATAGAGTATACATACATTAGGTATAATTCTATGTTAAGTTATCGGTGCAACTTTTACATATTGATGTACAAAACGATAAAATAAAATGCAGTTTTGTCAAAAATTAAGATTTTTTTGCGGAACAACTATCGCAATTAAATTTTTTTTTTTTTTATTCAGTCAGAGCTTTAAGTCAGTATTGAGAAGAATAGTAATAGTCTTCGAAGTCGTCAGGTATCTGTGCACCGTCCAATTCGACTGCGAGAGCTTGGTACCTTTTTCTAATGTGATGAGCTGCCATTTTTGGCTGTCTATCTCTTGTAAAAATTCCTTTCTTATTGCCACCTACTCTGGTATACGCTGCAACGTACAAACATTGATGAATATTATTAAAAAGCGTTTTAAGTTAGATCTTTCGAAATCAAGTTGGTATTTGAATGATGCCTCTCTTAAATTAAAAAATTTAATCTAAAAATTTAATCTCTGTTCATCAAATTGTTAATTGAAAAAAATTAAGCTATTAATTTAATTAATTGAAAATTTCTTTTAATTAATTATTATACAAAGAAGCAGTGAAACAAATGTATGAATTATTATAATCCATTAGCACAAATTTCCGCGATAATATCATCATTGAATTGAAAAAGAATTAATAAATATTATAATGATAAATTACTGAAGAGATTTTATTCGATACTCACTTTGTGCGGTGCGGAAATCGGCGAAGTTCCAGATGAATTCGCCGATAAAAAAGCCTTGGTGTCGTAATCGATCGAAGGCTTCAAAGTGTTTGGAGAATAATTCTTTCTGATACTCTTCACTCCATACGTATTCCGGTAGCTGCAATTAATTTATGTAGAATGTGTATAAATAAAAAATTGAAAAGTTAGTTATAATGTTATAAAATAAAAGTTTCTTAAACAAAATAATTATTATATTTTCATTTTATTTTTCCTCTTTTTTTACATCTATTTTCGTTGCAACTATTTATGTTTATAGCTTTTTTTACGTATTTTTTTTAACATTTTTATATTATTTTTGGATCTTATTTCTATTTTTTATTTCTATTACATATTTTGTATAGAGAATATATATATATATATAATAATTTATTACGAACAGAAAGCTTTTTGATTATAAAATGAGTTTTACCTCATGCAGACCGGGCATAGTATCTGCTCCGTACTCGGACATAAGTACTGGCTTGTTATATTTTCTATGCCAAGCCTCGGCTTCCCCTTGAACTCTATCAATGATCATATCCAGTCTACCAGCATTGCTATACCAGGCGTTATAACGATTGAAGCTGATCACGTCGAGAAATTGACCTGCTTTGTCTTCCTAAAATTTACAATATCTATTTGTCGATAATCTTCATATCACAAGCGATTGTGAAAAAATTAAAAATCTTGAGTAAATTAATAATTAGACAATAATACAAATTGTATTAATATTTAAGCTTTCATTTGATTAAAGTAACTTTAAAATTTGAAATTTAGTTTAAAAAATTCGACGTTAAAAATTAGGAAATCGTCTTCCTCTTTTTTTTTTTAGAAAATATTAAAAAAGGGTTTTATGCCTTTTATAAAAAGTTTAAATCAAAATAATACTATCTATGTTTTTATATTATTTTTTCATATATTTATTTATTTGTAATTACTTGCACTCCACGAGCTAGGGCAATAGTAATTGGCCTAGTAGGATCGATTGCTTTTGTGTGATGAGCGATCTGCCTAAAGTACTCTTCGGCCTGGGGTAGCTGGGTCCTCGGTTCGTTGGCCAAGGACCACATGATTACGGAGGGTCGGTTCTTGTCTCTACGAATGAGCTCCGACAGCGAATTCTTGTGACGCAAGAGTAATGGCGATGAATAATTCTCCGTATCGACGGAAGGACACTCGCCGATTATGAGGAAACCCAATCTTCAAAATAAAATTAAACAAAATGAAATAAAGCAAATACAAGAAAAGTGGAAGATGAAATGTTTTAGCATATCAGATAATTTTAAAGGAGGAAAATTCTCGGTACCTGTCGGCCATATCAAGGACTTCGTCGCTATAAGGATAGTGGCTGGTTCTATAGGCGTTTGCGCCGACCCACTGAAGCAACTCGTGATCTCTGACAGCAGTGACGAGGTCAAAACCACGTCCTCTGATAACCGAGTCCTCGTGTCTGCCAAAACCACGCATGTACACTGACCGATTGTTCAACAAGAGACTCGTATTAGTCCAGGTGAGTGTTCTGATGCCAATCGGTAATCGATAGACATCTGGTTTGGTGAGATTTGCTACTGACAATGTTATCTAAAAAAACGTTCGTTTTGGTAAATAAAATTAAAATTTTTTTTAACAATTTATAAACAAATTAATATTTCAGTCCCGCGTATAGTTTTCTATGCAGAATGTATCATTCCTCTCTGATTTTCTTTTTTTTTTTGTATCGATTCGAAATAGATTTTGGCAATGAGATATTAACTTAAATTTTTACCTGTGTATACCAGCATAGTTAAAAAAAGACACTTGCTAGTTTTGAGCAATCAATGATAATATCGTATAATGGGATAATTTTGGCCCAAATTTTGACAATATCCAGATGGCTCGCATGTCAAAATCTGGATATAAGACGTCTTAATTTGAGACGTTTTATGTTTTGATTTTGTTCAAGTATTGTTTTTTTTTAATTGGGCCAAAGTTATATACTATTTTACGGTTATCCTGACTGGACCTAAATTATCCTACTTTAGGTACCTCCAAAGTATATAGGTATCCTGGCTTGGGGTTCATGCCTCTAGGCCACCAGAGTTTGGCGAACGGGACGATCAGAGTACCTGCCATGCCATAAACGGGTTCTTTGATCGCTGAAGTGTGGTCGGCGTTGAGCAACGTGACTCTATAGACAGGTATTTCTCCTTCTTTCATTCCACTCGCCTCTATGACGTACTTGACAATTCCCATATCGCCGATTAGGCTTGTCTTTACTGTGATATCCTTAATGTAGATACGCGGCGTTGTATACAACAAAACGGACCTTTGTAAAGTGTTCCAATAAAATTTATTAGTTAGGAGCAATTATGTCATAAATATAATTATCACTCTGACTTAATGAATACAGAATCTCAAGAACTCTCATAAAAAATTGATAGTTTATGCAGAATTTTATGATAAATTATCAAAAATGTTATTTAAATTTAACTTGTCTAAAAATTAAAATAAATTGAATATTTTGCTAAAAAATGTGTAATTACAAGTGTTTTCTTTATAAATAAACTCTTTGTATTTTACTTTATTCTTGTATTTCAAATCACTGGAATTGCTGTATAATTATCTCGAATTATCGTATGTGATAAAAATAATTAAATTTGTATCCGTCTCTATTTTTCTGTGCTATAGAAATTTTAAAAGTAAGTCGTAAAAAAGCAAAAATCATGACCGTGTCTCTTATGATCTCAATTGTTGGGTATTGATTGTTCTTTTTAGTTTTTCTACAAAGCCCTTGATAAAGATCTATTTGTGACAAGTGAAATTCGCGTATCGCTTCAGAGAGCTCGAAAAAATCCTTCATAATAATATATCTGTGAAACGGAACAATGCTATTTCACCTGTCCCGTATTTTCTCTTTGTCAGATAATTATGTTGACTTGTATTTACAACATATATATTTATTTGCTCCCGAAAATTGGAGATATAATTTGAAATTAAAACAATTTCTTTTAATATGTTCCTTTTAATCTGTTTACATTTGAGACTATTTAAAAAAAATAAGTAAGTTGAAAGAAATAAGATTATTATTTAGTTGTATAAAAATAAATGTAATTAATATAATTAATTAATTAAAATTAAAGTTTTAATGTAATTAATTAAACGAGGGAAAAATGATGTTAATGTTTTAAAAATATTTCTCCTATTATGTTTGTCATTTACATATTGTGTATTAACATATTGTCAAGATTATTTCTAAAAATAAAGAGTATTGAATATAAAATAATTAATAATTAAATAATCTTTGTTTGAACTATCTTGTTTTAGTTTGTTAAATTTTTACCTGTGTATACCGGCATAGTTAAAAAAATCGAAACTGTAGGTCTGCATGTACTTGGTACCATTGTCGGTGTTCACCTGTACGATCTTACCCTGGGGCACGCTATTCTGTCCCAGAGTGTTATCCACGCTGACGAGAATATGGTTCATGCTACCGTAGGTCACAAATGAAGAGATTTCCGCTTCGAAGGGCAGATGGCCCATTTCGTGATTGGTCACCAATACATTGTTCACCCACTACACAAAAATACATGAACGACATGTGCAGCTTACAATTTACTGAATTTTAGGTGCGTTTTGAATTTAAAGATTAATATTTCTCTCGAAAATTATCGTACATTTCTTTGAACATAAATAAATATATTTTTTATTTAGAAGAATTATTATGATTAGAATTTTGTTCATTTTTCTTTCTTTTGTCTTTATTTTTTATTTTATATTTTTTAGATATTCCAAATTACAATTTTTAATAAGTCATATTTCAGGAAAGTCTCAAAAGATCGCTTTGGAATTGAAAAACTTAGAGTGACAGATGCTTACTACTTGTGCGAGATAATGGACGGAGCCGAATCTGACGAAAACACGTTCGTCCTTCCAAGAGTAGGGCACGAAGAAGGTCCTGTGGTACCATACGGTACCGAGGTGATCCCTGAGGTTACGCGATGTTGTAACGTCATTGTAGGACGAGGGTACTGGCATCTTCATCTCTCCGACCTGTAAAGGCAGTCTTGTCTTACGCGAACGGTGACGAAGTAATAACAAACGGACAACGTGCAATTATGCGAAATTATAAAATGCAAGTAACTCTTGCAACGGACGTGAATTAACAATAAAGATAATAAAAGCAAGATGTTGAAAGAAAATAAATAACAATAAATGAATGAAAAAATAAAGATTCGTAAAATATTGAATTGTTCTATAGTTTTTTTGTTTGATTCTGCAGGTTTTCTATAGAAAAAATTTTAAATAAGCAGGATCTTAAAGAAATTATTTGAATAGATTTATAATATATTTAACATTACACAATTTACGAGAGACAAATGTAAAGAAAATAATATCGGTATTAAATACGAGAAAATTTATTATGGATAATTGATTCAGTCTTTGCAAAAAATTAACTAGTTAATTGAATATTTCTCTGTTTATTGTTATGTAATTGAAAAATATCTTCGTTTTCTCTTTTTTTCTAGATATTAATTTTTCATTTATTAAATTACTATTATCTTTTTTTATTATAAATTTTTTTTTTGAAAATTTGATACTAAAAATTGTGACTTCATGTAATAAAAACTTTAATATTTATTTAATTCATTAATTGCACTTTGTCATTATTAATTATTATTTTACATTAAATCACGATACGATACCCTCGATAAGTCATCAGTGAACCATGCTTCTGAAAAATGCTTTAGCACATCTCTTTCAGACGAAACAATAAAATCCCATAATCCATCGAGCGATTTTACCTAGAAGAAAACATTAAAAATATCTGGTGATTTTTACATTTACTTTTATTATAAAAATCTTTAAAAAACAGACAAATATTCTTAAGACAATTGCATTAATGCACTGTAATATACACTTGTTTAACAAACAATGTGTATATATTTTATATTATTACAGGATAATAAATTTTTTATTAAATAAAAATGTTTAGAATTATTTTTAATAAGCGAGATATAAAAAAAATATAATGTCATGGATTACTTTTCCGAAAACTTATTTGGATGTGCGATAGAAGTGTGAAAAGTCGATTATTTGAAATTCGAGTGGCATCAAAAGATCAGTGTGTGTTACGTAAGTTTTACCTCTCGGGATTCACTTTCTCTGGGATATAGCAGACCAGGAAGTAGAATCGGAAATGCGTCCTCATAAGGTAGCGGCGCTTCAATTTTGATCGTCGTATCGGAGAACTCTGGCGGCGACTCCGGTCCGGATTCACCGGCCATCGCGCTGCCGATTAACAAGAAAATCAAGTGCCACATTCCTCTGTGACCTTCCTAAACAAAGGAATTAGCATCCACAATTCGTAATCAAGATCTTAAGATTTCCACTTAATTAAACGAACCTTTTGAAGTGTAAAAATGAAAATAAATTCTCAAAAGATTAAAAGAAGGCTTTAATTTAGAGATAGAAATCCCGAATGTACTTATAACAATGTTATATAACAATGTGCGTATTTAATTCACGTTACATATACCATAAAATTTAAAAAATTAAAATACTCATTTAAATAAAATATTGATAAAAGCATTTTAATTATTATAATTTTACTTCAAAAGAATCGAGGCATATTTAAAGCACAGAGAACAGTTCTAAAATATAGCAGATATAATTTTAGAAGTCATGAAAGTTCAATTTTAATTAATAATAATTAAAAATACGTTCAAATTCGTAAGGTTTATTCGATTGTTCTCTTATTGTCGTATTCGTGTCATTTTCTAATGAACAAGCATGGCAATTGCAAACACTTAGATAATGCGGCCTATGATACAAAAGTTCAGAAGGCAATATTTTTTTCATGACTTTATTTAACACGATGAATAATCTGTGCTTATCGTATAACCTTACGTCATGTCACACGCTAGAACTGTCAATTATCGCCCGTTGCCTATTTCTCTGTGACGGATGGCTATGACCCCCTTTCTTCTCGGCGAATAGTCATGACTTGTATAAATATCACGCGATTCTCCCGAAAATACCTTAGAAAATTGCTATCGAACGTTAAGGCATTCACGACATCCGATTTGTATGTTATAAAGACAGTTTGCACCACCACAACAGCACACAACTGGCACTTACGTTTACGATGCGCCTGAATCGACCAGTCGCGGCTGTTGATCACAGTCGACTGATATATCGCGCAAACTTCTTCGATAAAGAAAATTAGCAAAATCGTGGATCTGTGATTAGGAATTCGTGACAAGTTACTTTTACATTCATCTACATCATTAGCACTTTATGTTAATATTTATTATTCTGATAATACAAACGATCTTCACAGCGGAAAATCCACTGTTTTATCACGTAAATATGAGATAATAATTTGAATGTTATCACTGCAAATTGCATATGTAGATAAGACGAAGAGGTTTGATCTATGACTACGTAATTATTGAAAAAATTAATACAAAATTGCTTGTAACGATTAAGAAAATAATAAATTTATTTTCCGATGCGAAATTCTACGAATTAAGATTGAAAATTGCAAATTTAATTTACATATATAAATGTAATGTTATTAGTTCCAAGAATAAATCATGTATACATAAATGTCATTTACGATGTGATGTGTTGGAACAATAACAAAGGCTTTAAAGAATATAAATCAAAACTAAATAAATTAAAACTAGGAAAGAAAAGCCGATAAGAGTCAATGCGGATGTGTAATGTTAACAAAATAAAATATTTATTATTCTCAGTAAATGTGTTGAAACCGCTCGAATATAGACTCTATTTTTCCATTATATCTTTATTCTTTTCAAGACTGATAAAACACGTTTAGAGATAATATAACGTATAATTTGTCTAACAATTATTCTTTCCCTCAAGTCTGCTTCGTTGTATAAAGGTTGCACGCGAGTCATCCTATTTATCTTTTTTCTCTTTTAATTTTATTCGACATCCACAAAGAGAGGAAGACCGGTCTTCTGGCATCCGTTCTTTTATACGAAAAGATTCTAAGGAAGGCTCGAAATGCAATAATAAAGGCACGGAATAGGAATATGGCCTGCTGCTTTTTTTTTTTATTAAGCATTAGTAAACTCGATAATCGAATTTTTATAATCGTTTTTCGAATAATTACGTATTATAGATTAAGCTCTCCCCCCCCCCTCCTTTCGCCAGTCTTATCTGTACACGTGGTGATAATATTTGATGTTGTGTGTATTTTAATTCTAATAAATTATTATATCATATTGAAGATAAGCCTGTATCAGTAGAGATAACATTTTATAAATTTTGTTTATAATCATTTTATAATTATTTATTAAAAAATTACCTTGGATTATTAAAAGTTAAAACTATGTTTTCTATTATAAAAATTTACAAATCTAGAAATGTATTTCACACAAAAATAATATATTTTAATTAAATTATTTATATAGAATTATAAATTCTCGAGAAATAATGAAACAAGAGAAAAGATCAAATAAATGCCTTCAACGTTTTTGTTAACGAAACATTAATTTCAAATTTCTCAAGTATTTCAGTTTCAGAAATATAATTTAATATTGATCAGTTTAATACTGCGAATTTTATCTATTTGGAATATAAGAACTGAACAGTATAATGCTTCTAATACTCAAAAGTAATCACTACCTTCCAATATTAAATTTTTATAAGAACCTAATTGCAAATACTACAATATTTAAATGCATAAACGTACTTAAATTTTTTATTGATAATAAAAATTTTGGCAAAAAGAACTTTCGGGAATTTCAGGTTTTATGCCTTTTCAGTAAGAAGACTTTCGGTGATCACTTTTGCATGACCTTTCGACGAAAGCTAACTGTCGGGCAATGAGCCGGTCGCACCCCACACACATACATGCACACAAACACACTCCGCGGGGTCTCGTTCGCAGCAATATCGGCTTCCTGGCACGGTGCCCTCCTACGAGAGCAGACTTCCCTTCCCAAAGCATCAAATCGTTTCCTCGTGTCGTGCGTATACGGAGATACCACGGCACTGATGTCCCTAATTCCTCGAATAGCCACTATTGTTCCAGGTCTGAGCTTACACTTGATAATAATATCTGGCCAGTATTGTAATTTCGTTAATCATTACCTGATTGTTTCAAAAATTTATTTTTAAAAATAAGAAATTTCTCTCCTATAAAATTTATTTTAAAGATTTTATTTGTAGCAAATTACACACACATTAATTAACGCTACAAGGGTCAAATATATCAGTTCTGACAAAAAAGAAAGGAAATTAAAATTAATCGTTATTAGTTAACGTTAAGGTATAGTTAACAAGGAAGTTAAAACATTTCTGTGGTAACAATTTTAAATAATAAAAATGTCACATAAATGAAATAAATGTCACATTTTTAAATAAATCCTGTCGCATGCAGTTCAAATGTAAATCTGTTACTGATTGTTTCAATTGTTTATTGTTACTATTGGCTATCGATAAAGTTTCTAAATACAACCTCGTTTGTTCGCGATTTCTCTCTATTTGTGCGGGCATAGATAATTCGTAGACCCAATTTCGCGTGCAAAGATAATTGATTCGTGAAAGCCGCGAAGATCTGAAATGATTCCGCAGGCATTCTCCCATATACGCATTTTCGTAACACCCGCGGCGTGTGGTTTGAATTTACGTTATTAACACTGATGTATTCATATCGAGCGTAGTGAAGTGTAAGAGACGCGATTACGAGAGACGATAATGGCACAGAATAATGATATAACGATGCTAATATTCTATCGTTACAGAACGGACTAGATTACACCTCGTGCGATTCTCTTAGAATTTGTTAAATATCGTAAAAAATTAAAATTGCGAAATTAAAGCGAATAGAACGTAAATTTAAATCGTTAAAGATATTTAGTTTC